ATATATATATATATATATATATATGTAATTGTATACAAAATCCAATACTAATCATTATTCTTATAAAGTTATAAACTCATGCTACTTTCATTACCATGAAAACAATATATAACAGCTGAAATCCAAAACACAATGAGTGCTGGAAAGGATGTAGAACAAAGGGACTCTCATGCATTGCTGGTGAGGATACAAAATGGTCACGTGGAAGACCATTTGAAGGTTCTTTTACAAAACTGAATGTACTTTTACCATACGATCTAGAAACTGCGCTACTGTACTACGTATTTACCGAAATGAGTTGAAAACTTAAGTCTACACAAAAATCTGCACATGAATGTTTATAGCAGTTTTATTTATAATTTCCCAAAACCTAGAGGCCATCAAGATATTCTTCAAATGCCGAATGTATAAACAAACTGTGGAACACCCATAAAGTACATTATTAATCTGAGGTAAAAGTACATGAACTATCAAGTCCTAAGAGGAACCTTAAATACATAATACACGAAAAAAAAAAGTCAGTCTTACAATGCTGTATACTATGTGATTTCAATTACATGACATTCCAGCAAAGGAAAAACTAGACACAGTAAAAAGATCAGTGGTTGCAAAGGTTGAGGGAAGTAGGAAAGGATAAAGAGTTGTACAGGGGATTTTTAGTTTCGTGAATCTGTTCTACATGATACTGTGATACATGATATACATTTTTCAAATCCCATAGAACTATACAAGACAAAGAGTGAGCCCTAACCTATGGACTTCAGTAGTAAGATACCAGTACTGGTCCATCAATTATAACAAATGTACCACAGCAATGAGAGATGTTAATAAGGGAAATTATGTAGGAGGAGGGATATATGGGACTCTGTACTTCCTGCTTGATTTTTTGAAAAACCTAGAACTGCTCTAAAAATTAAGCGTATTAATCATAAAACCTCCAAAACATTTAAAAAAGCATATGTCATTAATAATGCTAATGCTGGAAGTAATTTTTCCAATTTGTCACATAGTGATAAAACAGTTGTTCAAATAGACCTATTAACTATATATTTGTCACTCTTGTACCATGAAATTTAATGTTCTTTAAATATCTAGCTATGTTCCAAAAGACATTGAATTAACATTCTGTCACATAGGACAAAACTTAAAATTGCCTCCAACATAGCTGTCTAAAAAATTGTTTAAATTTTTTTTCAAAGGAAATGTTCACACTGCATTTGTACAACCCTTATTTTTATTGATTTTCAGTATAGTTTTGATTTTCACAAACCTTAAATATTTTGCCTATATTTATTGTTATTTAAATGAATGCAGAAGTTGCTAAGTTATAAAATTAACACATTTGGCTATTCAAAGCCTTATGCAGTATTTCTCAAATTTCAGTGTGTATGAGAGTCAACTGGGAATTATTTTGAAATACAGATTCTGATTCAATTGATTTCAGGTGATGCCTGTTAATCTGCATTTCTAATAAGCTTCCTGGAGATCCTGATATGTGAACACAATTTGAGTAACAACGTTCTAAATATCTAGGTCATAAAACTACTACCAACATGAAAAACAAATCCAGATACCTAGCAATCCTTACAAGAATTTAAAGAGCTGTTTTTCCGTTTTTCCTAGCTGAAGAAGCTTCCAGGGCTGCCAGCACTTCTACAGCTGATTTCTCAATATATCCTTTTCTGTTTCATCTATAAAGAGGAAGGCTTCCTAACCTTTGTACAGTGAGTAAGCTACCCATTTACTCATAATACTCATGGCTTATATAATCCAAAGATCATCATTTCAATTTCAATTCTCCAATTTCTATGTCTTCAATCAAAGAAAGATCAAGTGAATGGCCCAAAGTCACTTATTCAATAACTGTAAAGGTCAGGTCTCAAATCTAGGTTTCTGCTTCAAAATCCAGTCCTTTTTTTGTTGTTTTCTGTTGCTTCTTATAATGATGCAATGCAGAAAATAGGGACCAGGTGGTTTAGACAACAAAATCCAAGTTCTGAATTGAATCTCTCAGGTTTGGGCCTCCCACTGCAATTCCTAGCATTGTTTTAAAATCTTGTTGTGGGGTGGTCAGATGTAGTAAGGCAAAATATTTCTTTGTGCTTTGAAATCAGTTGTGAAATTCAACAAAATTATATGAATGTATAAACTAGTTTGAATACAGTATGAGGCTATGAGAAAAAAGACTTGGATTTTCCACCACAGAGTATGGGCACAAAAATAATTTATTCTATTTTGCCAAACCTGGTGGTCCTCTTGAAAGAATTCATGGCCAACTATGTATAGGAGTCAGATGCAGCCTCACTTACATATCAAAAAACAAATGAAAAATGATAACTTGATGTCTTCAATAGGACTTCCAGGCCATTAAAGATAACTACAACTAACCTGACCTTCACAATATAAAGAAACAAGGTCTAGAGATGTGAAAACAATTTTGTACCACAGCATAGATATTTTTTGTTAGAACTAACATTTAAAGTTTCCCAACTTCTGGTTAAGGGCAGGCCTCAGCTTTACTCTGACTTCAACAGTAAGTCATGGTGGGAGGGTTAATAAATATGAACTATTTAAGTGACATCAGGGGCCTATACATGTCTTCCACATACTGTCCTTCCTAATCCTTTAAGGATGTATTCTGTAAGTAACTTTATACTTATACTTTAGTAATCCTGGAAGTATACTTTATACTTATACTTTAAACATAAAGGCTTTACATACTCTCACCTACTGCCTCCTGGAGCCCATACAAAAAAAGGAAGTTAGGATAACATAACTTTGGGTATAAGACTTGCTTCTGAACACTGGACAGCAGCCCATCATGAAAATCCTGTTCTTTTTCCAGAGGCATCCTCTGTAAGTGTGTGTGCTGTATGTAAGCAGCTTAGAATTAAGGGGCTCCAGTGGGGTGGCCAGTCTGTTTCCCTCTGGGCACTGTGTCTGATAACAGATTGCAAGGGAAGTAAGGGTAAGTAATATTGTCTTCATGGAATTAAGTAAACATCAAGGCTGCTGAGATTCTGGGCTGCTATCTCTATCTTTCCAGGGCTGTTCTGAAGTGGCCATGGGTGAAGGCTGAGCAGTGATGTCTCCCACGGAGACATAGTCTTGGCACCTCTGGACCCATCCTGAAAAAATCAATAGCCTCTCATTTATTTGTTGGTGATCCCAGCTCTTAGAGACAATTTCAAGCAGCTTAGATGCCAGTTGTACAGAGCACACATGCCCACTCACTACAATAGGTTCCCGTAGAAATTATAAACTTTTGGCCATGGCATATCTCCAGAAAAGTACAAGATACTCCTAAAATCACTGTTTGTTGCCACTGCTTGGACATCTGGCTCCAGCCGACAAATCCAGCTTTGCCTTATCATTCTTTTTTCTTTCTTTTTTTTCTTTTGAGATGGAGTCTCGCTCTGTTGCCCAGGCTGGCATGCAGTGGCATGATCTCAGCTCACTGCAATCTCTGCCTCACAGGTTCAAGTGATTCCACTGCCCCAGCCTCCCACGTGGCTGGGACTACAGGTGTGTACCACCATGCCCAGCTAATTTTTGTATTTAGTAGAGACAGGATTTCACCATGTTGGCCAGGATGGTCTCGATCTCCTGACCTCATGATCCACCTGCCTCGGCCTCCCAAAGTGCTGGGATTACAGGTGTGAGCCACCGCACCCAGCCTGCCTTATCATTCTTAACACCATTGTCTTTTCCATCAATACAGTAATCATGGCTTTGCCTATTCTTTCCCCACACTTCCTACTGTGTGTCATTCTCCTATCTCATATCAACATCCTATCCCTCCTTCAAGACTTAGCTCTAATGTGGCAATCTCTGTGAGAATCTCCCTGACAGCTCAGAGTTCGCTGTGGCCTCCCTGCTTGCTAAACACCTATAGCGCTAAGGCACCACACCATTCATTTAGCATTTATGTTCATCCCTCCTTCTAAGAAGAAATTATCACTAGCGGGATCCGTTTTGTTTAACCTTCCAAGATAAATAAGAATGAGGATTATAAAAAGTGCAGGTAGCATACTTGTTGAACTTTCAAAGATTTTCACACTAAATATGCCAACATGTAAGAAGGAGAAAACTGGCTTAAGGGCAGGGTGGGAAGTTTTTCTTTGTCTCTTTTTTTCTGGGTATCATCTCTGAACCTAATCACCAGAATAATTTCTGGGAAACTTAAAGGATATGGCTTTAGGACAAATATAAAAGAAACCGGTATCAGTTTAATGGAAAGTGCAAGTTTTGGCGAGGACAGTGGGGCAATAATAAAAAAGATTGACCAGAAGAGTACAAGCCTCCCATCCCACTGGGAAGATCAAAACACAGTCTAGGAGTCCTCAGCTGTGGACATGGTGTATTCCATGGGAGAGAAGCAGCATTAGCTAAACGCCAGGGTTTCTGTTCTAAGATTCGATGACTCTACTACAAACAAGAATGATGATGGCTTATATACTTTGCAATCAATAATAATAAAAGCACAATGACTATGAATAACTTACTGTGCTGGCAGTGAATCCCATTGAATCCTCGGGGGCATTTACAAACGTAGCCTATGAATGTGTCCCCTCGGTATGCTTCACTTATTTCGCAGGTTCCTCCATTATGGCATGGATTAGGAATGCAGGGACCTGAAAGACAGAAAAAAATATTGCTGCTTGATGCATATGCTTAAAAGTATACATTAGGTCAACACTTTTCAATTAATCATTTTACAGGAAAAAATGTTCTGGATATTAGTGGTATAGGAAACGTACTGGTTGTATGAACTCTGGAGACTAGTGGCCTGGGTTTGAATCTTGTTTTCACCACTTCACATCCATGCCATCATGAGAGACTTACTCACCTTCTCTGTGCCTGTTTCCTTTTCTGTTAAATATCAATACTAGAAAATTTGCCTTAAGAGGTTATAATACAGATGAAAAGATTTCATATGTATAAAATACCCAGAAAAGTGTCTGTCACTTGTAAAGCACTCAAAAAATTATTAGCAGTAAAGTGGATATTATTAAAATTTCTGAATTGTAGAATACCTTCTGTGTGTTTTAAAAATAATACTGAACAGTAGTTTCTGAAGTTGTAGTCACAGCTCAAGAAATTTTTTGTCCCCCACTGGTGCAAGTAGCATATGGCTGTAACCACATAAACCAAATGAATTGGATATCTGGTTGCAAAGCTTTTATAGACTATGAGTTTATGGTGAAGCATACCTCTGGAGAAGCACATTTTCTGCCAATCTAAAAGGAGCAGTTCGTCAAAAGTTACATGCATACAGAAGAGGGGCTGATGGTCATTTTTAAACTTTGAGAAAGTAACAGCAGATTATTTAGTACTTGTGGCAGCTAACGAAATTGTGGTGCTCCTCAGAGCCTTCTTGGAGAAAACCAGCTGCCAGCAGTGTGGTTAGCTGACAGCATCCAGCTACTGTACAACAGGGTCTGCTGTGGCAGCATTTATTTCAAGGCCAGGCTCCCCAGCCAACAGCTAAGCACCAAAGCGGCGTAGAGCTAACTGGGCCAGTCCTGCCTAACCTGGGACTTCTCTAATGAGCATTCTGTACTCAGAGGTGCCCTGTTGGTGAGGCCGAGATTTTTCTTAAAGCCAAGGCAATTTGAGGCTTTTTCTATGCAATGTTCTCTCCTCCTCCTCCCTTCAAGGTGACAGGCTGTGTCACAGTCTGCAGGCTTATCCTATCTACTCTTGCTCTCTTTCCCCTCAGTCCATCACAGGCATTCCCTTAAAAAATCTTTTACATTTTTAATTCTGTCTTACAGTCTGCTTCCTGCAGGATGTTAATTGACTCAGGACAAAATCCAGACTTGAGATTGTGAAGAAGGGAGGAGTTGAAGGAAGGAAACGCTCTCCCTGGGAGGTGAAAAGAGACCAATACAAAAAACTATAGTTTTCTCTAATTAAGTCTGTACTTATTTTAACTGGAGAGAGTAGAACGTATTTATAAGGAAAAGAAAATCCACTGAAGAGGAAGTTAAGATGAACATATTAGGAAAGGAAAGCAAGGGTAATTAAAATAAGTGTCTGACTATGTATGAAGAGGTGAGTTTTGAGAGCCTCGAAGGAGGATTAGTTCAGAAAAGGAGTGAGTGTGGTCAGCTGAAACAAGAAGGCAGAAGAATTGGACTAATTAATAATAATAACTTGAGGCAACTGGGTGGGGGGAAGGGTACTGAATAGAGAGTGCTATAGAGAATGACTCCTCCTGCATGGCTCAAAGCCATTAAAAAAACAAGGGCGGGACGAGGTGGTGCACACCTGTAATCTTAGCACTTTGTGATGCTGAGGCGGGCAGAGTCCTTGAGCCCAAAACTTTGAAACAAGCCTGGTCAACATGGCGAAACCTCGTTTCTATGAAAAATACAAAAAAAATTAGCCAGGTGTGGTGGTGCTGCACCTGTAGCCCCAGCTATTTGGGAGGCTCAGGTCAGAGAATTGCTTGAGGCTGGGAGGGCAAGGCTAGAGTGAGCTAAGATCACACCACTGCACTCCAGCCTGGGAGACAGAATTAGGCCCTGTCTCAAAAAACTAAAAATTAAAACTAAAATTAAACACTTAGGGAAAGGAAAAAAAAAATTGCTGTCATCACTTCAAGCACTGCAATAGACCTCAACCACGGGTGGGAAGCACGTAGAAGGTGGGCAAATTGTCCTGCACTAGGGCAATAGTTTACGACTCTATTTCTTCTTCTGAGAGCTATGTTTGACCCTCCATTTCTTTCAGTTTAAAATGTTATGAAATTCAAGGTTGTAGAGTCTAATAAATATACACATGGAACAGGAAACAATGAGGCAATTGTATAGTCCTGGACCTTGACTTCCCGATAGGGCGGATTTTCAAAAATAAAAAAGATTCAGGGGATCAGTGATTTTTTTTTTTTTTTTTTTTGCCAGATAGCACCACATCAAATAAAAACAATATATTTCTTTAAGTAGGAAGTTTTGTGCTGTGAAGTACATACCAATTAAGTTATCTAGCACCCATCTTTGGGGTGGTACATTGCCAATGTATGAGACAGGGAAGAAGGTGAACGACCAATGACGAGTTATAGAACAATCTGAACCATTTTCTTTCACTGCTACAAAATGTAAATCATGCTACAGAACCTATCTCTCCTCCTCTTTCTCATTTTCCATTTCTTGCCTCCTCACAAGTTAATGAACATTTGATACTACCTTACAATTTATAAACTGTTTTCACACAAATCATCTCATTTATTACTCAGTATAACGTAGGTGTTTTTCATTGTCATTGTCTTTTACACTGTTTTTTTAACTGAAGCTCAGAAAAGTTATATAGTATTTCTCAATCAATATCAACCAGTGGACAGATTGAGGGCCCAGAGTAGGAATCTGGGATTCTAAAACCTATACTCCACAGAGCATCAACTAACTGGGGACAGGAGAGTGAGATGATAGTGATGTTAAGAGTATTGGCTCATCGATTCACTTCAAATGAGAGTAAAAGTGACAGATTATAAAATTAACTGATAATGGATAGCCAAGCATATAACTGCTAAAGAAAAAAAAAATAATTATAGTTAGAAATTGTATAATTTTAAGCAAATAAGATTCCTTGGAGATCACGTTATCCAACTTTTCAATTTTCCAGATGAGAAAAAATAACTAAATAAGAATTCAGAAATATTCCCCAGAAATCACTTAATACGAGAAAAATTAGGTTTAAGAACTTGTCCCTAGGAAGAAAAATAGTTATTTAAACCAAAACTGGTAAGAAAATCCTGAAGAGAGTGAAGTAATTTACATCAGAGAGAAAATAAGTCTTTCCTGTGCTTCTTTATACTAACAGGATTGGACGAGGAAGGAACAGAAATGGACACTTGCACCTTACCAAAACTAAACCAGGAAGACGTTAAAACCCTGAATAGACCAATAACAAGGGCTGAAATTGAGGCAGTAATTAACAGCCTCCCAACCAAAAAAGCCCACATCCAGACAGGTTCACAGCCAAATTCTACCAGACATACAAAGAGGAGCTGGTACCAACCATTATGAAACTATTCCAAACAATATAAAAAGAGGGAATCCTCCCAAATTCATTTTACGAGACCAACATCATCCTGATACCAAAACCTGGCAGAAAATCAACAAAAAAAGAAAACAATCTCCATGATGGACATAGATGCAAAAATCTTCAATAAAATACTGGCAAACCGATTGCAACAGCACATCAAAAAGCTTACTCACCATGATCAAGTAGGCTTCATCCCGGGGATGCAAGGCTGGTTCAACATACACAAGTCTATAAACATAATCCACCACATAAACAGAACCAAAGATGAAAACCACATAATTATCTCAAAAGATGCAGAGAAGGCCTTCGACAAAATTCAACTGCCCTTTATGCTAAAAACTCTCAATAAATTAGGTATCCATGGAACTTATCACAAAATAATAAAAGCGATTTATGACGAACGCACTACCAATATCATACTGAATGGGCACAAACTGGAAGCATTCCCTTTGAAATCTGGTACTAGAAAAGGATGCCCTCTCTCCACTCTTAGTCAACATAGTTTTGGAAGTTTTAGCCAAAGAAATTAGGCAAGAAAAAGAAATAAAGGGCATTAAATTAGGAAAGGAGGAAGTAAAATTGCCTTTATTTGCAGATGACACGATTGTATATTTAGAAGACCCCATAGTCTCAGCCCAAACTCTCTTTAAGTGGAAAAGTAACTTCAGCAAAGTCTCAGGATCCAAAATCAATGTGCAGAAATCACAAGCATTGCTATACACCAATAACAGACAAACAGAGAGCCAAATCATGAGCAAATTCCCATTCACAATTGCTACAAGGAAATTAAAATACCTAGAAATACAACTAACAAAAGAGGTAAAGGACCTCTTCAAGGGGAACTACAAACCACTGCTCAAGGCAATAAGAGAGGACACAAACAGATGGAAAAACATTCCATGCTCATGGTTAGGAAGAATCAATATTGCAAAAATGGCCATACATTCCAACGTAATTTTTAGATTCAATATTATTCCCATCAAGCTAACATTAACCTTTTTCACGGAACTGGAAAAAAACCATTTTAAACTTCATATGGAATCAAAAGAGAGCTCACATAGCCAAGAGAATCCTAAGCAAAAAGAACAAAGCTGGTGGCATCACACTGTCGGACTTCAAGCTATACTGCAAGGCAACAGTAATCAAAAACAGCATGATAGTGCTACCAAAACAGAGACATAGACCAACAGAACAGAACAGAGTTCTCGGGAACAACACCACACATCTACAACCATCTGATCTTTGACAAACCTGACAAAAACAAGCAATGAGGAAAGGATTCCCTGTTTAATAAATGGTGTTGGGAAAACTGGCTAGCCATGTGCAGAAAGCAAAAACTGGACCCCTTCCTGACACCTTACACTAAAATTAACTCCAGATGGATTAAGGACTTAAACATAAAACCTAACACCATAAAAACCCTAGAAGAAAACCTAGGCAAAACCATTCAGGACATAGGCATAGGCAAAGGACTTCATGAATAAAATACCAAAAGCAATGGCAACAAAAGCCAAAATAGACAAATGGGATCTAATTAAACTCCAGAGCTTCTGAGCAGCAAAAGAAACAATCATTAGAATAATCC